TGTCTTGTGTTTTCTTGATAAATATTTCACATATCTTCTAATCTCTCTTTCACTCTTTCCCATTAAATTTCACTTTTTTCTTCTTTCTTTTTCTTCTTTAAAATAAAGTCACTGACGATGAAGAAACTAATATTTAGTTCTGCTTTCTACTGAAGTGGCTAAAAAATAAAAGATTCTACAGTCAAATGTGAGACCGTCTGAGGTCCAGCTGAAGCTTAGACAGATGATCCATGATGCAACAGAACAATGCAGCAGATCTACAGCAGAACGACTGTAAAAGAACAGGCGTGTTGCAACGATCCAGTCAGAACCTGATCAAAACGCTGTGGCAGGATCTGAGATCTGAGCAGAACCAAATGTTTGTGAACCTGAAGCAACGTTGGAGAGCAGACTGGACCAAAAGTCCTGCACGGCCATGTCAGACTGATAATGTCAGACAGAAAACGGTTACTGAGAGTTATTGTTCCTGAAGGGGGTTCTCCTCTCCTTCACACAGCTTTTTCAGTTTGACTTTGTTTAGTTTAATAAATAACAACATGGAGGAACTGTTTTGTGTTTTTGTTCACTTGAGGTTTGATTTGAATCATTTTTCTTTTTGTTCTGATACAGAAAAAAAAAAAACATTTGAATTTATTCTTCCCACAGTTTAGATATTGTAGAAAGTGGTTTTGGTGCAGAAACACAACTGTAATACAATTATTAACACTTTAGACAGTTGATTTTACAGTTTACAGAGTTGTTTTAGCAGTTTTACAATACAAATCTGGCCTGTGTTTAACCGGTGAGCACAAAACCTTTAGTGGGTCAGTGCTTTTCATTTTAAAATCTAAACAAAGAGGCACTTGGTTAACACAACTCATCTCGTTGGATTGCACAAATATTGTTTGCACTTTTTAATTTTGACGATATTTGTGATGAGTTTTTATTTTAATGAAATTACAGTCAGAAAAGGCTTTCAGAGGAGGGATTAGGGTTTGCTACGACAGGAGGCATGCCGGCCRCACTTCTTGGCACGTTAAACCCTGAAGCTGAATTGCACTTCACTTTCAACGTCCGGTTAAAACAATAGAGTTTCTTTGGAGAGGCAGAAGACGCCCGCTTTCTTTTCAAGTTCTCCTCGCACTTTTTGACACTTTTCTCCCGTGTGACGGGAATATTTCCYAGCGTCTCCTGGTTGCCAGGAACGTTATGAGCACTGGTATAGGTTAGGTCTGTGGTCGTGGTGGAGGCAGGATGTTCACCACGGCAGCACTCACAATCCGCCAGTCTCTGTTTGTTGGGACAGGATGTGTGTGCTGAGGGGTGGGGGCACTGAGTGGGAGGTGGGGTTGACTGGCCAACACTTTGGCTACTGTCGGGTCTTAAAGGGTTTACTTCTTCAGAGGTTTGTGCTGGAGTTGTGTCCTGGTTCTGGGTGAGGGGTTTCGAGTGGACAGAGTACTTTCTGAGATGGCAGGTATGAACAGGTCCTTGCCTGGGGGGCGTTGGTCTTCCCTGGGAGCAGTGATGGAAATGAGTGAGGGGGCAGTGGACAAAGTGCAAACGGCACTCCATGTGTGTGTAGACTGGGTCTAAGAGGGCTTTGTTGTGTTTGCCTGAGTGGTGGAAGAGCTGTGGGGTGGGAGGACAGGACAGGGAGTCTCTGGGAGGCTGTGGACAGGATTGAGGGGTCCCCTGTTGTAACGAGTGAAGAGGGGGATCCTCACATGTACAGTTAGTGTTATGAGAGTACTGGCACCTGGATGGTGGACTCAGTGTGGCTACAAGCCCATTTTCTGGGACAGAACCATCTGTGTCAGTGCTCTTACAATGAATGTGTAAAAAAGGTGCAGCGTGGTGAGGAAGGATTCCGTTAAAGAGCTGAGTACCCAGCTCGTGTTCCTGTGGTTTCTCTTCAGTTTGTTGCCCCGAGGCCAGTGGTTCTAGCTCGTAGTGCTCCACCTCCCCTCCCCCCAGCTGATATGTCCCCAGGCCAGAGTTGTTGGCCTGAGATGGGGGGACGCTGGTGGCTTTGCTGAAGGTCTGACACTGCAGCTTTTTGGGCAGGGGGATCTGACCACAGGTGCCTTGGGGTCCCAGGCAGCGGCACATGCACTGAAAGAAGAACGTGGCAAAGGCCCAACTGATGCACATAATCAGCATCATGAACATTCCCAGCTGGGTGTAGGCCAGTACGGTTGAAGGCATCATCATTGCTCCAGCAACGAAGGTGGTCAGTGCTGCCATAGCAATAGCAGAACCCATCCGACTTAGGGAAAAAACCACCTTCCCCTCTCTGTCCGGGAACGGAGCGAGTCTATAGGCTACACCGTAGTGGACAGCGAAGTCCACTGACAGTCCCACGGCCACAGAAATGGTAACAGACTCCAAGACATTCAGCTCCCAGCCAAGAAGAACCAGTGAACCCACCGTGACAAATATGGTCCCAGCAATAGAAAGGATGGCGTACAGGCTGATGATGACATTCCAGGTGGTGAGCAGCATGACGCTGAAAGCCACAGCCACTGACAGCGCCATGGCAATCAGAGTGCCACCGGACAGACTGTCTTGGAGGTCGTAGAACTCCAGGTTGCTGACAAACCAGCCGTGGCTAAGTCCTTCTGGAGCGAAACGTAACTCCTCTGTGATCCAGGCGTCCACCTAAAACAAGTCACAACAACACGRTTAATCCAGTTAGAGCACTGCACACCAGAGATGAATAATACAACGGACCCTACCTCGCGATAGAACTGGTACATCTTCTCGTAGGCCAGAGTGAAGAGGTAGGAACTCTGAAACTCTAGGACTATGGCTCTGATGGTGTCATTGATGTCAAATCGAGGTCCGGGGGTCTTACTATCCAGATGATAGCTGGTACTCCGATCCAGCTCCATAATGGCTCTCTTGATGCACAACTCAAATACATCCTGCTTATAGGGGAAAGTGGACTGACTGCAGCAGGGGTAGACAGAGGCCTCTTCACAATCCTGGTTCTCCATCCACTGTAAAAAAAAAAAAAAAAAAAAAACATTAAAGGGGCAATATCATGTAAAATAAACTTTTTTTGAGTTTTATATCATGTTATAAAGTTATACTCTCATAAAAACACATGCCCAAAGCCTTGCTCTGACTCATTCATCCATGTTTGAGAAATCCTGCAGTGTTTTTAGGAAGCCATGCTGAGGAGCAAAACGACAGGTGGGGACCAGAAAGGCCTTTTGGTACCAGAAACGCCTCTGGGATGTGACTCCAAGCCGATCTTCCTCACCACCCCCCACACCCCTCACCCCGCCCATGACACCTGCAGACTCTCGGCTGCAACAAAGCAAGGGTGAAACTGAAAGTGAAACTTAAACTGTCTGCTGCTCTTAACATTACTGCTCACTCAGTGAAGGTATTTTCAGATTCAAAATACCTTTGAGGAAATGTATTTTCAGATGCCAAGTAAACTGCATCATAGCGCAAACACGATCCCCCCACACTGAAATGGGCGGGACAGAAGCAGAAGGTGGTACTTAAAGAGACAGAGGCCAATTTCAAGGCGTTTAGAAGAGGAAGTGATGAGAAGATACGTTTATTTTCTATTTAAACATAAAAACAGCATTTCAATAACAACTAAAGGTGACATAGATACTTTATTATTGTATAGTATTTAAATATATGCCCAAGAAACACATAATATTGCCCCTTTAAAATGATTTGGTCAGTTTGATGTTCTGTAAGTAAGAACAAAGGACTGACCTGTTTGAATGTCTCAATGAAGCAGCTGGTGAAGTCCTGATCCTCTGACTGGAAGACAAAGCTTTGGTTCCTCAGCTTCTGGCAGAAGTTGAGGATCCACACTTGAGAAGCTGGACTAGCTATGTTGAAACTGGTATCCAACATGAGCTTTCCTTTGTTTTTGGGGTTCAGGGGGTCTCCGTTATCCACGGGGGTAACCCCCCAAATGATGGTGATCGGCATGTGGAGGTCCTCACCATGATTAACTCTCTCGAACATAAAAAGTTTTTTGTACTCTGCATCGTAGCGCTCAAAGGGGTGAGAGGATCGGAACACCTGGAACTCTGCCAGCTCAAGGGATGGAAGCTTCATCTTTGGGTTTACGCAAACCACATATGCTCCGCCAACTGTAATCGCAAGGAACCAGAAGAGCCAGAGGTAGCGCAGCCTGATGACGATACAGGGCAGCACTTTCTCAAAGAAGATCCTCGACACCTCAGAGACTGTAAAGAGACATTTATTAGCTTTCTGACAAAGACCCACCCAGAACATCTGGGAGCAGAAGCTTCTTTGTTGCTGTTCAGACTCTGAGCAGGGGAACATGTTTGGCAGGTAACGTTCATGTAGCACCACCACAGCAGGCAGCCATGTCACCATTAGAATATAATTAACCAAAATGGCAGTGCCAGCGTAGACACCGAAGCAACGTATGGCAGTGATGTTGCTGACATAGTTGGCGTAAAAAGCTGCAGCGGTGGTGAAACTGGTGACAAACATGGAGAGGGCAGCATGTTGCAGGGTCACATTGACAGTCTCTGCCAACTCTGCATGAGGCTTATCAAACTTGGTGTAGTTCCACACATCGCAAAGCACAAACGCGTCATCTGCACCGATCCCAACAAGGATAATGAGGGCAGTGAGGTTCATGAAGGGGAAGAACTCAAAMTTGAAGACCATTCGATAAAGGAAGTAGGACACTATCAGTGAACTGATGATGGCGATTATAGTCATAAGAGTGATAAAAACCGAGCGCGTATAGACACACATGACCAGCAGTACAATGACGATGGCTATGGCGGGGTACACTGTGTCAGTGAGAAGGTAATCCTGGAAGAGGTCGTGTTTGATGCCAAACTCGATCCCTGTGACTGTGGTGATACCATCAGAGGAGTTCCAGTTCTCAAAATTGTCCAAGTAAATGTTCATCATGGACTCCCCCTTCTCTGTGGGAGAGAAGAGCATGCTGTGCTTGAGAACAGGTGGCGGATGCTCCAGACTCTTAGGACTGAGGAAGTCTTTGTCCACCAGGAAGTGAAGGATCTGGTAGACGGCGTTGTACTTGGTGCACTTTCGGTGCACGCCAGCACATTTCATCTGATCTTTCCGTCGCAGTGCCATATCCCAGCAGTCAGGTCTGAGCGTGCCGTTATGGTAGTGCTTGGCACATGAGCGCAGAATTTTGAGAGTTTGGGTCACATCTCGTTCTGTGATTTTTTGACAGGAAGACTTGTTTTGTAAAACAGCGATGTAGTTCCCAAGTGTCCAGCTGGGACAACAAGAGGCATCGTTAGTGCGCTGACAAAGACTCCAGTAGTCACGATGGGAGCGCACCTGGCAAAGACAAGCATAATACACAGATATAAAAATGTATTTAAAAAGGAAGAAAACCTAAATGAGTTTTATGAAACTCACAGATAACTCAACACAGTAAACTTCAACATTATTAATGCAGACTTGGAGAGAAGTTTGAGTACTTACTCTTGTGTTGTCCTGATTGCACATTGATTTGATGGCCTGAATATTCCACAGATTCTTTCCTTCAGCTGATGTGAACACCAACCGAGAGTAGCTGTCACCTGCACAAAGAGAGTAGTCCTGTAACTCAAGGAGAATACCGTATCAGCTGGGTACTAGGGCTGCACGATATTAGAAAATCTTGCAATGGCAATAATGTCTGCAAATATTGCAATTACAATATTAGGTGCAATACATCTGTTTTTTTTTCTTTCCTCACTTTCTAATCTTTACATCCTACTCTGTAACTTTTAGCAGTTTTGGCTAAGTCAGTTGTGTCTGGTGTGAGCTTTTGCTGCCGTGAGACTGTCCTACTTGCTAAATATTGCATTAGCATGAAAAATACAAATTCAAACTATCAAAATACATAATTAACAATTATTGCACTCTAAGCAGTCCCTTGCGATTTGAATATTGCACACATTGATTTTGCGATGACAATATACAGTATTTGTGATATATTGTGCAGCCTTACTGGGTACATATAGCACAAAATGAAAAGTATTTTAACATCTGAAAAAGATCCCATTTTCTCACTTGCTTTTCATTGCAGCAGCTTGGACAGTCTGCTTTCTTAGACTGGTTTGACCAGAAAGATAATCTGGTCTGTAAGTAGGACAGGTATAAATATTAGGGGTGTCAGAAAATATCGATAAACTGAAATATCGCAATATTTAATTTCCCAATACTGAATCGATATTCTAAAGCCCTGTATCAATTTTTTATTAAGTTTTTAAAAGTCCACTTTCCTGCAACCCGTTTATTTTTATGTTATAGTTCAGCCTGTGACCACTAGCTGGCAGCAGTGAGCCAGCCATTTGGCTCCTCTACCGCTTGAGCACCAGAGAGTAAGAGAGCATTAGCATTGTGAGTAAACATTAGCTTCATGCTCCGTTAGCTGAATCTGAGCGGAAAAGACCGACACCCTCTGCCTTCTAAGCTGAGGTAAGGTTACAAATAGTTACTTATTTGTCAGAATGTCTGTATTTTAAGACAAATTGTGTCTTGTGCGCTCTTTTTTCAACTTTAGTCAGCTTTCACGTTACGGAAGGCAGGCAAGCACAGCGCATGCGTCTAGCGCCTCGAGCTCGGCACTCCCCCCGTGACATAAAACTCTGTTGCTCTCAATGTCTGGTTGATGATCGCATCAAAACATACTTTAAGTTTATCCTGCTGTTTGCGTCAAAAACGGTTTAACAATGTTGTTTAGCTTCTCCATTTATTTACTGTTTATTTTCAGGACCTGCCCTGCTGTTCGACCCACAGTTATGAAAATGCAGGTCAGCTGATCCTAGAAACTCTGTGTGCAGCAGCTTCATATC